TTTAGTTACCGTTGTGTTAATACAATTTCATATAGTTTAAACAACAGAACAAGCACTGAAGTACGAATTAAAATACTTAACTTACGTCAACTTCTGCTTCCATGACGTTATAAAACATTTCGACCAGTTCCTCGCCAGTCAATTTATTTTCCACTTCTTGCAGTGCAAATTTCCTTTTCGGCAAAATTACAAAAAACTTCAGAAAATCTCCTACGTACGATGCTGACAGAATCTGGCAATCCATCCGTTCCCCGTACTCGAACTTTCCCTTCCGGTGCATCATTGAAACCTTGACGGTAGTCTGGGAGTCGACATAAAAATTTTCCACTGACGTATTCTTAGCCTCAAATTGCTGCAACCAGTTTCCTTTGAAATAAAGCGCATTGACCAACAGGAGTTTAGTGCTTCCGGAAAGGACTTCTGGGCGCAGTAGACCTGTGATTTTTCCGCCCGTTTGATTGAGAATCCACGAATTGACCAGAGACGCAGCATTGTGATCGTTAAAGTTCAAAGTGATCATGTCAGATCGAAAGTGCTTTTTCAACAGTTCGTTGAATGAATCCAAAATGCTGTACCCCTCGCTGCAGTACATTCTGTTTGCCGAACGAAGCACCACATTCTCTTGCTCGAAATGAAGACTTTTCATAAGATCAGCAACGTAAGATAGCAAACGCTTTTTATCCAGCTTACCACCGTAGAGTATTTGTTGCATTTCCGCTTCGGTTTCGCCACACGAGCCTAAGTAGCTCATAGACATAGCGATAAAGATTGACAACGGCGAGAAAACAACGCTCACGCCAGATTCCTGGCAACTGCGATACAGCTGCAGGCCGAAATTAGCGACCAGACCAGCGATTTCAGAAGCCATGCTCTAAAAGAACATAGTCGGTGAGAAAATTTGCTGAGACAAAAAACGCAGGTGTTTTCACTAAATTCCCTAAAAACGATCAAATCTGAACAACATATGATGATGGATCTTTGTTTCATATGTTTTCTGTTGAAAAGCCTAGTGCTTTCTCTTTCTTCTGTCCGTTGCTCTCTTCAGATTAACGGAGAGGCAGTGGAGCAGGTGGAGAAGTTCAAGTACCTCGGAAATGTATTTACTAGTGATGGAAAATTGGAGGAAACGATCGACCGACGAACTGAAGTAGCCAGTGGCGTTCTGCGTGAACTAGACCGACCCACTGTGACTAAAGCAGAGCTCAGTCTGAAAACTAAGTTCTCCATATTCAAGTCGATCTTTATCCCCATACTTACCCACGGTCATGAATCGGGGACCACCACTGAAAAACTTCGAACCCGGGTACAAGCTGCTGAAATGGGCTTTCTTAGACGAGTCGCTGGCCTTACGTGTCTCGACATGGTCCGGAATAGTGACATCCGGAAGAGCCTTGGAATATAACCTTTGCCTCTCCAGACTGAGAAGTCACAGCTGCGATGGCTTGGGCATGTGTTGGGAATGCCTCCAGAAAGGAAGGTTAAGCAACTGTTCCTTGCAAATCCGACCGGCAGAAGGCCCAGGGGACGACCAAGATTAACCTGGTGCAAACATTAGTCTGTTGCAGACTCCATTTGTCTTTAGCCGAAACTCAGACTCTGGCACATGATCGGGAACGTTGGAAGCTCTGTCTGACGTGTCTGCCTGCGCGACCTGAAAGGAGAAGCGGCGATGGAAGATGAAGATGATGATGATGTTTTTTGATAGCCATGGAGAGTTTTTTCTTTGCCTTTCGTTTCATTTTTCTTTAATTTCTTCCTCTTGTTTGCATATTTGTTCACATTAAAATGGAACTACATTTTACAATCCTTGGCCACTTCTTCGGTCACTACATGCAGCTTCACGCAATTTTTTACAATATCGAAGAATCGTTTCTTTTGTCTTCGCTTTCTCTAACAGATTTCCTACGTGCATCACATCGCCTACGCGGCTCCATAATTTTCTTTTGCCATGGCTGAACCAAAAGAATGTGCTTTTAGTCAACGTTTCTGTTTATCTGAACTACATCACAAAGTGTTCTGGGATCTGCTCTCTCTGCTGAAGCACACATTCAGCGGAGTATCTACAACAGTGAGGAGTCCAGCTGGTGCTAGCGTTTTTTCAACGTATATTAAAATGCAGGTTCTGTGAACTTAAAAATTTAAGTAATGGACATCTTCTAATCGCAGATAATTTTCAGTCATGCCGCTCACTTGTTTTCACTTGAATTCGTTAACTTTTATCGAATTTTTAATTCGCCGCCGATGTGCCATTGTCATGTATAAGGGAAAAAATAAAAAAAATGCAACGGTTTTAGACCTGCAAATAATCCTGCAATAACTTAACGGTTGTCAACGTTGCTTTTTTTGCTGAAACAGTTGCCGTGCAACACACCTTACTATCAACTGGACGAAGACAACAGTTTCTAAAAATTAGTCCCACGCTACGGCTTTTGCTTTCCCACTTTCTCTGCTTTCGCGACACAGTACTATACCGATAATGAGGCTGCTTAATGTATATACAGAGTTAGTCAACTACCCTACCGAACAGAAAAAGATGTTATAAAATATGCATCACTGATCTACTCTCTAACTTTACACAAAAGTGATCGTTGCTGCGCAAAGCCATCAAAATGGCGACTTTGGCAGGAAATCTACGCCAGAAGAAAAAAACTTCAGTAAAAAATTGTCTAATCTACGGAATAAATCAGTATGCGGCTTACTGATATGAGCACAACCAAAATACGCGATTTACGATGCTCTAACGGCTTGCCGGCCCAAGCTACAGACAACCAGAAAGCGATTCAAATCTGTTGTCGGTTATAAAAAAAAACCTTATAGACAACACGTTTGGCCATTTATCGCTAGGTTAATTGCATCCCTCCAGCATGAGCATACGTATACTCTGCGGCGTATATCTCATTTGTAATTTAGCCTTTCTCAGTTGTAAATGTTTCTATTGTTTCCTCCATTATTTTCTTCTATAATATTCTTTTGTTCTTCCTATGTTCTATCTAGGACAACTTCCTGTGGTTTTACTGATACCTTAAGTAAATTACATTGAACTGCATGAAAAGTTTTACATGCTCGATGCAGGGTAAAGGTCTGACCCATGGTGTTGCAAATGGAGTGGAAGTCAGATTATTCGTTCTGAATCTTCTCCACTTATCAGTAGCTTCATTACCGTGTGGGATGAAAAAAAACTGCCTCAGAGGTTGGTGCAGAAGTCCTTCTGTCTTTGACTCTCCATTTTTGAACACATGCATAACCAAGTTGAACTGTCGATGCTCTGGAGCTTTTTCAGATCTTCATACAACCTGGAATACTCGAATTTGCTAGGAAAATCATAGCGATTCAAGGCTTTTAGAATCTCAGGAGGAACTTTGTTCTAACAAACAGTTTGCCACTTTTCATTCGATTAATTCGCCATCTCAGCCATTGTGATATACTCTGCGCCCCAAAACGCATTTTTGGAATATCTCCGGGCTCTGTTCAGACTAGATTTAGGAGATCCTCAAAATATTTCCCCGGCTCTAGAAGATATCTTCGCCGCGGATAACAAAGTTTACATCTGAACTCTTCACGACTCAGAAGCCATCAGATCTTTGCCTCCAAAGATGGAGGATAATCTGTAAGACTGGCGATCAGAGTTTAAATTCAGTTCATCACCGATTCCAATATCCAAACAGAATTGAAAATAAAGCGAAAAAATAACTTCGGCTAGAAACAGGAAGTAATAGCATACTACTCAGAAGCGTTCAGTAACATAGTGCTCTGAAATGTGTTTCGTTCTTGCATCTAATCCCACTGACTTTCCATGTATTCTTCGAAACGGCTTTTTCAAGCCTAGGAATACCATGTATATGTCCTTAATACTTTCTTTAAATTTTTTTAGTGCTGAGACCGAATGACTTAATGTTCTTCACACCTCATTAAACTAACAGTGCTAATTAAACAATGTGCGCGTATTGAACTGAAACACGGGTTATCATAAAAGAATTACAGCATAATAAAACCTAACTTAATAACAGCTGGTTTGTGGTAAGATTAAATTCATCAGTAGACGATGCGACTGCAATTTACTCAGCTTGAAAGAACAGTGTAAATCAGAATTAAGCATATTCGTTTTATTAAAATACAGAATGAAAACTTAACGTAGAGTTAGAATTCCAAATAATAGAACGTTCAAAGAACAGTACAGAAGAAAAAGCATATTCTGGCATATATTTGAACTTATGAATGATTTCGAGATCTCATTCATAAAGAAAAGTAAAAGGCAAGATAAGATTTCAAATTTAATTGCACTACAGAAGGCATGGAACTTCTTGCTGAAAATAAAAACGAAGTCGCTAAACTTATCATACAAGTAAAGTTCAATCATTCTTCCCAAAGCACACTAATCTTCAGAGGACTCAGGCTAAGAAAGAACATTTGCAATGCCTCAATGCATTTTTTACTGAGTCAAAGGGGGCGAGAACATCGTCCTTTCGTTCATCTGCTATTAACCGGAAAAACTGACGAAATATGGAAACAAGACTGGAGACCGGGAAGAACAATTGCGCAACCAAAACGGATGATCGATTATTTGCTTCTTTCTGAGATACCGCAGTTGTTCGGCAAATAGCGAGACTTTTATGCTACTGTTAGCATTAACATTCACAGAAACTCCCTGAAGATAGAGCATGCTCAATAGGTTTATAGCTATCTTCCAAATTTCCGACCCGTTAATCACTTACCACCAGTAGAGACTAGTACATATACCCATACAAAACGAAATTCACAAAGCAGTGCTACATTTCAATATGAAGAATGTCGGTGGGGAAAATAATATTTCTCAGGAGTTAATAACACCAGAAGAATGGTGATAGTAAAAAAGCACCGTCCAGTCTTCCATCAGATATGCGCTTCTAAAAGTTTTCAAGAGAAAGATGATACTGCGTTAATGTTTTTCCTTTCAGCCGCTGGTGAACAACCAATCGCTCCATCCATCAGGAATTGCAAAACCACAGTACTTTCAATCCCTAGATAATCATTTTCCTGAATCTTCCTCGAAATACTAGGCAGGAGATCGATGCGAAGTTTCATCCAAATCAGGCAAGCTTCTGACGCAGTTCTGACGGAACTTTCAGTCCCTGTAGAGTCAAGAGCAATACCGAATACT